ATGCCGACCGACAATACACCAACCTACATCCGCGACCGACAAAACCCACCTAATCCGAGCGACCGACCGACAAACCACCTACATCCGACCGACCGACCGACAAACCCACCATACATCCGACCTACGCCCGACAACCACCTACATCCCGACCTACCGAACCGACAACCACCTACATCCGACCTATCCGACCGACAAACCTACTTTATCCGACTACCGAAGAGGCAAACCCAGCTACATCCCGACCTAAAACCCGACCGACAAACCCACCTACATCCCGACCTAGCCGACCGAAAAACCTACTTACATCCCGACCTACCGACCGGCAAAACCACCTACATCCACCGTACCGACCGACAAACCGCACCTACATCGACCGACGAACCGACAAACCCACCTACTCACCGACCTATACCGACCGACAAACCACCTACATCCGACCTACCGACGCGATCAAACCTACTTAGTTCATCCCGACCTCCGACCGGCAAACCCACCTACATCCGAGCCTACCGGACCGATCAAACCCCACCTACATCCCGACCTCGACCGGACAACCTACTTACAATCCCGACCCTACCGACCGGCAACCCAACTACATCCCGACTGCGACCGACAAACCACTACATTCCCGGACTACCGACCGACAAGACCCACCTATGATCCGACCTCGACCGACAAACCCACCTATTATCCGACTTAGCCGACCGACAACCCACCTACATCCGACTAAACCGACCGACAAACCCCCTACACTCGCGACCTAACCGCCGACAAACCCACCTACATCCCGACCTACCGACCGACAAACCCACCTACATCCCGACCTACCGACCGACAAACCCACCTACATCCCGACCTACGACCGACAAACCTACTTACTCCCCGACCTACCGACGGCGGCAAACCCACCCTACAATCGCGACCTCCGGACCCGACAAAACCAACCTACATCCCGACTACGACCGACAAACGCCCCCTACACCGACCTAACCCGACCGACAAACCTACTTAACATCCCGACCTAACCGACCGGCAAACCACTACATCCCGCCTACGACGCGACAAGACCACCTACATCCCGACCTATACTACGACCGGACAAACTGTACTACATCCGTACTACCGAGCCGGGCAAACCCACCCTACATCCCGCACCTACGACGACAAACCGCACCTACATCCGCGACCTTTAACGCCGACACCACTACATCCCGACCTACGACCGCAAACCCACCTACATCCCGACCTACCGACCGACAAACCCACCTACATCCCGACCTACCGACCGACAAACTACTTACACCGACCTAACAAACCCACCTACATCCCGACTACCGACCGACAACCACCTACATCCCGACCTACCGACCGACAAACCCACACACATCCCCGACCTACCGACCGGCAAACCCACCTACATCCCGACCCGACCGACAAAACCCACCTACAATCCGACTAACCGCGACCGGCAAACCCACTACATCCCGACCATACCGACCGGCAAACCCCACTACATCCCGACCTAACCGACCGGAAACCAGCCTACATCCGACCAACCGACCGACAAACCCACCTACATCCCGACCGGACCGACCGACGAAAACCCACCTACATCCCGACCAAACACGACCGGACCTACTCCCGACCAACCGACCGACAAAACCACTACATCCCGACCGACCGACCGCGACAAACCACCTACATCCCGACCGACAAACCCCCCTACTCCGACTACCGACCGACAAACCCACCTATCTACGACCGACAAACCCAACCTACATCCCGATACCGACCGACAAACCTACCTACATCCCGACCTACCGACCGACAAACCTACCTGCATGCCCGACCTACCGACCGACACCACCTACATCCGAACTATTCCGACCGACAAACCGCACCACATCCGACTACCGACCGACAAACCAACCTACATCCCGACCTACCGACCGACAAACCCACCTACATCCCGACCTACCGACCGACAAACCCACCTACATCCCGACCTACCGACCGACAAACCTACCTACATCCCGACCTACCGACGCAAAACCCACTAATCCCGACCTAGACCGACCGAACAACCCACCTACTATCCACCGACCGAGCGACAAACGCCTAATCCCGACCTAACCGACCGACAAACCCACCTACATCCCGACTACCGACCGACAAACCACACCTACCTCCCGATCGACCGAACAAACCACTACATCCGATAACCGAGCCGACAAACCCACCTACATCCCGACCTACCGACCGAACAAACCACCTACATCCAGCGACATGCCGACCGACAAAACTACTACATCCCTGACCTAGGCCGACACCGACAAAACCCACCTACATCCGACTACCGACCGACAAACCACCTACATCCCGACCTACCGACGACAAACCCACCTACGACTTACCGACGACCTAAACCGACCCACCTACATCCCCCGACCGTACCGACCGACAAACCCAACTACACCCGACCTACCGACCGACAAACCCACCTACATCCCGGACCACTACCGAACGACAAACGCCACCTACAATCCCGACCTGCGACCGACAAACGCCACCTACATCCCGGACGACAACCACCTACATGCCCGACCGACAAACCCACCGTAGGGGACCTACCGACCGACAAACCCCTACATCCCGCTGCCGACCGACAAACCCCTACATTCGCGACCTAGCCCGACCGAAAACCACTACATCCCACTATCCGACCGGCAAACCACCTAATCATCCCGACGACCGACCGACAAACCAACCTAACATCCCGACCGACAAACCACCTACATCCCGCAACAACCGACCGACAACCACCTACATCCCGACCAAACACGACCGACAAACGCACCTACATCCCGACCGACCGACCGACCGACAAACCCACCTACATCCCGACGACCAAACCCACCTACTACATCCCGACCAACCGACGCACAACCAACTACATCCCGACCGACGCGACAAACCACCTACACCCGACCAAACGACCGACAAACCCTGCACCTAATCCCGACCAACCGACCGACAAACCTCACCTAATCCGACCTAAACCGACCGACAAACCCACACCTACATGCCGACCGCACAAACCCCTACATCCCGACGACGACAAACCCCCTCTCCCGACAACCGACGAACAAAACCTCCCTACATCCCGAACCGACCGACCGAAAACCCACCTACATCCCGACCCTAACCGACCCGACAAACCGCCCAAACAACAACAACACACATACAAACAAACGAGGCAGATCCGCCACAAGCAGACGTTGTGTTGGCCATCCTCTACCTC